ATGGGGAGAGGAGGAGACACTGATACTGCTTGACTGCCCAATCCTGGAACTGCCACAGGAATAATTTATCACATCTGAAGACTAGCACTATATCAGTGTGACTGGGAACTTATTAACAGGTTATCCTTTGTTAAACTAAATGGCAAGGTGTGGGCTAACTACGCTTAGAGGACAAGTTAGGAATGAGAGGGAGACAGGATCATGCAACAGGTCACCAAAGACACTATTATCTAACTTTTGTGGCAGTTTAAAAATCACGTGTGATAAAGTCTTAGGAGTTGTGGTCCTGCATCAGGGAAAGATGTATTATCAGGAAAAGATGTATTAAACATACCTGTTTAAATATACTAATGGCCACCTTTGCAGCTATTTTAAATAAACATCTTTTTAAAAGCTGGCTTGAGGAAAAATCATATTCACATTAATTGATGTTGAATTCACCATTAAAATTATGGTACCATCAATTGGTGAACATTGTCCCTCGGCCCTTAAAGGGGAAAGGTTGCCTACCCCTGATCTACACTGTAGAAATTGAACCACTTTGAGTACTGTAGTTCCATCTCATGGAATCCTGGGAGTTGTAGTTGTACAAACCTTCTCTGCCAGAGAGTGTTGGTGCCTCACAAAACTAGAGATCCCAGGATTCTGTAAAATAGAGCCATGGCAGTTAAAGTGGTGTCAAACTTCATTATTCCTACAGTGTATATGCACCTTTCAAAGAGATGGAATCAGCCTAACTGCACTTGGCAGGGTATTCCTCCATTTGGGTGCTACTACAGAAAAAGCCTTGTCTCACATACATAGCAATGTAGCCTCATGAGGCATCAGGATATGCAACAGGGCCTCTGTTGAGAATGTATTTCAGGCAGGCTCATTTGGGAGGATGCAATCTTGCAGATATCTTGGCCCCAAGCCATTTAAGGCTTTGTAGGTCAAAAGAAGCACCTTGAATTGAGATTGGAAGCAAATTGAAAGCCAATGTAGTTCTTGACTGATGTTATATGGTCTCTAATTTATACACTCAACAACAGTTGTGTACTAGCTGCAGTTTCCGCACACTTTTCAAGTTCAGCACCACAGAGAGTGGTCTAGCTGGGATGTAACCAAGGCATGAACCATAGCAGCCAGATCTGCCTTCCTCAGGAAACCTTGGAAAAGACACTTCTGGGCCCTACAGCTACCTGGTCTTCCAAGAATAGCACTGGATCCAAGGTTACCAAGTTATGAACCTGATCTTTCAGAGGGAGTGCAGCTCAATCCAGAAAAGATTGCACTCCCAACCCCAAGTTAGTTTTCCTACTGTGACCAAGAGCACTTCCATCGTCTCTGGATTGCACGCCAATTGATTCACCAACATTCAACCCTTCACAGCAGGGGTAGGCAACCTTTCCCCTTTAAGGGCCGAGGGATTTCAGCTCCCAGAAGCCTCAGCCATGTTGGCCAATAGTCCCATGTTGGCCAATAGCTCCTGGGATTCTGGGAGCTGAAGTCCCTCAGCCCTTAAAGGGGAAAGGTTGCCCACCCCTGCTTCACAGCATCCAAACAATGGTTCAGGACATCACCTGGAATATTGCATCCAGTTCTGGGCACCACAATTCAAGAGTGATATTGGCAAGCTGGAGCATGTCCAGAGGCGGGCAACCCAAAATAGTGAAAGGTCTGAAAACCATGCCCTATAAGGAATGGTTTAGGGAGCTGTGTATGTTTAGCTTGAAGAAGAGAAGGGGTGACATGATAGCAGATGTTTAAATATTTGAAGGGATATCATTTTGAGGATGTGACATCCCTTCAAATATTTAAACAAGTTGTTTAAATATTTAAACAACTTATTCGAGATGTAGTGCTGAGAAGAGTGCTAAGGACTCCATGGACAGCCAAAAAGAGAGACAAATGGGCCCTAGAGCAGATCAAGCCAGAAATATTCCTAGAAGCCAAGATGACAAAACTTAGACTGTCATACTTTGGACACATCATGAGAAGGCATGAATCACTGGAAAAAAACAATAATGTTGGGAAAGGTAGAGGGAAGTAGAAAGTAGAAAGAGAGGAAGGCCACATGCTAGAATTCAGGGGTAGGCA